AATTGAAGGGTCTACACACTTAGGTGGTCAGCGCACAGGTTGTCTAGGAGCCGAATACAGACTTAAAACAGAAGTATAGATTTTGTCATCCAGAAAGGGAAAAACAGTATAGATTTTGAAGTCTTGAACTCTGCTATATTTGACTTTGGGTGAGTTGTTTAATGTTATTCTAAGCCCGTTTCTTCTCTAAAATAAATAATTATACACAATTTTCAAGGATTGAGAGGATTAAATAAAATATCATAAAAGATCTCTTATTTATAGACGAGCATGGTGATGCACAACTTATAAATCCCAGTTAATGGGTAGCTGAGGCACGAGTGTGACAAGTTCCAGGCCAGCCTGGGCATCTTCACAAGATCCTGTTTCAGAATAAAAGAGACTGGGGATGTAACTCAGTGGTACAGAGTTCAGTCTCCAGTACCCAAAGAAAGAAGGAAGAAAGGAAGGAAAGAAGGAAGGAGGGAAGGAAGGAAGGAAAGAAAGAAAGAAAGAAAGAAAAGAAAAGTTCTCTTATTTGAGATATTGGGACTGGATTTCACAGAATTAATTAAGAAGTTGATTAAAGAAGAGAATCATAAAAGATGGTAAATAGTTCACGTGTTTTACCTTAAAATGTAAAATTTATTTTTAATACAGGCCATGGTCTTTTCTTTGAATATAGTTGGCATTTCTGCATTGTCTTTCTTGCATAAACTATATGCATAATACTGTATCTGTGAGTTCTAGCTTTAGTTTCTTTAAATGTAGCAAGAATTTATACACCTGGGAAGGCACTTGTAAAGTCTCTTTCTACAGAATCATGTCAGTTCCAAAAATCATACCAAATGATTATATACTTCCAAAACTTTTACTCTTCACTTACCTAATTAGACAACAATATTTTAGCAGCTTCCCGTTATGAAATCCTCCTAAAACATTCAACCTTGCATTCAGAGAAACAACTTCCTTTTCTTGTGTACTCATATTTTGTTAGTTTATATTTAATTAAATTTCAAGCTGCAAGGCTGGGGATGTAGCTCAGTGGTGGAGTGCTTGACCAGTATGCACAGGGCCCTGGGTTCCATCCCCAGCACTGCAAAAAAAAAAAAAAAAACACAAACAAACAGACAAATAAAATTTCACAGTGACAGTAACAAGTACGTTGTTATTAACTAATTCTTGATAAACATGAAACTACTGTGGGGCCATAGCAGCAATGGTTGGTATAGTTCCCAGGCAGCCTGGAGAATCACAGTTAGCCCTCCGGGTTGGTTCAGTAAAGATCAGCTAAATCAGCTTCTCCTGCACTCTACCTATATAAAGTGTTTAACCTAGTGCCTTGCATGTGAAAGTGTCTAATAGCTGGTAACTTATTCCTATTGTTATTAATAAGCTCAGAGATTCAAGGATGGCTAGAAATCTGTTTCTTTTCTTCAAAATTTTACAGATGAGAAAAGATCCAAGTGTTTAAAATTTTGCCTTCAACATATACCTTTTGGCTTCAATAAGTAAAAGGATTATTGATCATAAACCTAATATTTTGATTCAGAAGGATTTAAGTTTGCAAAGGCATCTGGGAGTTGGTATAAAGCATAAAGCAGTCTTCTATGGTACTTCAAATCTATGTCTTTTCAGTAAGACCAGGTAGGACCATGGCATGGTGATGAAGACAAGCCCCAGGGCCTCCCGGGTGGTAAAAACCAGGGGTCTGGGCATAGTACACACAGGGAATGTCTCCCAGAGGAAGAAGGATTAGTTGAACAATGTACACAGGGATGAACAAAGTTTTGGTCACAGTAGGCTCTGCACCTGTGGCTGCCATGGAAACCCAACAGAAAAGCCTCTTTCTAATAGGAAGAACCACTGCTAAGGGGCAAGTGGGCTTCTAGAAAGAGTCAGAATGCCTAAGGAATCTTGGAATCTGTGTACTGTGTTCATTTTTGTGTGTGTTTAAACAATCCTCTCTCTGATCCTGTGTTGCAACAGATGGGAATGATCCTTTTGTTTTGGTTGGATTGGCTGTAAAGGATGCAACTGGTTGAAAGGCAAAGACACTGCAGGCAGTAGGGGTGTGTGTGGGTGATGAGTGTTCTTTTAAAAACTGCAAGTCTGAAAACACCAAGCTCCAGGCAAGGTCTTTGTGACTCTCATTTACCTTCTAGTTTTTTTTTTTTTTTTTTTAAGAAAATTTAAGAATAACATTCTAGCAAAGTACAAATCATGGTTGCACATCTCCCTGTGTTTTTGTTGGTGGTGGTGCTGGGGATGGAACCCAGTGCCTCACGCCTGCTAAGCTTGTACGCCACCACTAAGCTGCACCCCCAGCCCCTGCTATGCTTTTAATTTTATTTTGACAGTCATCTTAGTCAATTTTCTGTTGCTAATTACACAGTACCATAGATTGGGTACATTATAAAGCAAAGAGGCTTATTTTGGCTCACAGCTCTGGTCCAAGGTTAAGGGATCACATCAAATGATGGCGTCCTTGCTGACAGAGTCCCGAGCTGATGTAGGACAACCCATAGTGAGACAAGGTGAACGGAAGAGACCAAGCCAAACTAAATGTCATAGCAGACCCATTCTGGAGATAACCTATTAATCCTTTAATTACATGAGTGGGTTAATCTCAGGAGGGCAGAGCCTTAATCACCCATTAAAGATCCCACCTCTTACTCTCTCATAATGAGGATTAAATTTCAACATGAGTTTTGGAAGGGACAAACTGTATTCCAACTATAGCAACAGTGAAATTCATTGCCTCACAAGCATGCTGTCCTATCAATCCTTGGTTCTTTGCAAAGACATTGATGTGCTTCTCTCTTACCCCTGCTCCTCCTGGGACTTCTGGGCTCTCTCATGATATGTGGCTTTATGGGGATGCCAATCCTGGGATTATTTTCCAGTTCAGAGGTTTTTATATACCAGCATATGTAACTTTGTGCAAAGAGTGCAAAGCTCTGGCCCAATGCACACCAAGATTCTGTCCAGTAATTCTGGGGAAGTCTTGCAGTTTATAACATGTACCACGGAATTCTGACAGAGGAGATTCCCTCAACACTGCAAGAAATCGTTTTGATTTTTCACCAGAGATCAAGATGAGCTCTGGGAGACAACTGTGAGGTTAAATGAGAGCACAATTGTTTTGTGATAGGGAGGTGGGCAGGTGAGGAAGGTTTTGCCAGGACAGGTGTGAGCTGGAAATGGAGCCTGTGTGTGTCTCTCTGACCACATATCCTGAAACTTCCATGAAGCTCAGCTGTCCCTCCCTTTGCCCTGATTGAGAGCCTTCCACATTCTTGAACTCTAGACCTGACTATTAAGGCCAGACTGGCTGCTTGTTTTTTTAGGCCTGGGACCCCCCACCCCCACTCCGCTCCGGCCCCGGCTGGCTAGAACCCTTAACTGCTTTGCTAACTTGCAAGAAAAGTCAAGCATAAAAAATGAAGGAGCAGGTTGTTGTCCTTCCCAATGGGGAGGAGCTCCAGGCCTGGTTTCTTGTGCCGTGGAACACCGACACCAGCTGGTTTACAATGAGGCTGATGCCCTTCTCAGTGAGCAGGCCCCCAGCCTGCAGGACTTGGGCTTCTTTTAAACTGAACATGCTCATTGTCAGGCATCTGATTCAGAGCATTCCTTTTGAGAGGTGGCAAGTTCTACTGGAACATAAGGTCAAAGAAAACCTCAGAAAGAAAAAAATCAAACATGTTTTTCTTTATTGTTGTGGGGTTTTCCTTTCTTTCTGCCTCAATATAAGTTTATAACCCTTTATTCTATCTAGGGGGAAGTGACCCTGTGCTGCTTTGGTTTCTTTCTCTTAATTCAGTGGCTCTCAAGTGTGGTACCCAAGCTAGCTGCATCCTGGTATCAGTCTCACCCAGGAGTCTGCTAGAAATCATATATTTTAGCTGCCTGCTCCAGGTGCACAGTCAGAGACTCTGGGGATCTGGCCTGGGAATGCATGTTTAGCACATCTGCCAGGTGATTTCTTATGCATGCTCAAATGTGAGAACCACTGTTTAACAAAGGCCTACGGGAATGCCTTTAACTCTGACAAAGAGAATCTTAGTTCAGCCAGCTACCTGATGAAAAGAGAAGACCTTTCTGTCTGGAGTGGTGGTGGTGGTATAATTTTCTAGGTTTTTATCTGGGTTCCTATCACAATGGTTGCAGACAGGCCCATCGACCAGAGATGATGGATGGAGAAAGTGGGACTGGAGATTAGGGAGTGAATTTCCACCGCAGTGGCGATCTTTGTTAGGTTTCCTGGGTCTTCTGTTTAATGCAGATGCAAACACAATGTAATAAGTATTTCCTTCAATTTGATTTTACACAGATGGTAACATACTGTACACATTGATTTTCACTTTTCACTCAACAACCTGTTTTGGAGAGAATTTTGGCACATGTAGATCTGCCCAATATTCGTTTAAATGACTGCATACATAGTAGTCATCAAAGAGTTGTCCAGGTGTAATATAGATGTAGTTTACTTAAATTATAATCATGGAAGGACACATTTTTGTTTGTTACAGTGCTATGTTGGCTGTCCTTTATGTGATGTGCTAATTCTGTAAGAATAAAGAATTGCTGAGCAAAAGAGTAGTCTATTTTAAAACAGTAAAGAGTATCAAGATCCCTTCCAAAAAAAAAGTACCTATTGACATTTTTGGGGTCAATCTTGACTTCAACTCTCAAGGATTCTGTGGGTGGAGCTCAGGAATCTGAATTTTATTTCTTGGGTGATTGTGAGACAAGAAGTCTGCAGGATGGAATGGGGAGCCAGGGGGTGGGCCCTGAGCCCCAAGCTTCTACTCCTCTTGGGCTGCCTGGAATTGCTCTTTCACTTTTTATGTGACTCTGTTTCCTCACCAAGGTAAAGGTTCCTAAGGACAGGCCTGGGGTTGTCACCTTTTCCTATCCTCCCTGGAAAAGCACTTTGCAGTGTTTGTCAATCATGAAGCTTTGGAGGGGTTTGTGGCTCATGTGATGATCTTGGCTTTTCTTCTTCTTTTAGTTCCATGGACCAAACACAGAGTATCCCGGACCAGCCTTCTTCTGTACCTCCTTCCCAGCCCAAGAGGAAAATGACATCAATGATAGCTTTCTTTTCCAAGGTCTGATCCCAAATATCATGTACATTTAAATGTTCCCTCCCAAAAGCCATTTTGAAGTTCTTTCTGGAAAAAAAAAATTGGATATGAATTCTTTTAATATGGGTAGAATATTTATGGGAAGACAAGAAGATAAGTTGAGAGGGATTTAACTTGCTGCTAACCCAATAGTAAAAATATAGAATAAACCATGATTAATATTCAGAAATAACCATGAAGCTTGCATATTACTAAATCTCATCAATAGCACTATGGAAAGAGACCTGAATCCAAGCCCTCCCTCCAAACACACACACACACACACACACACACACACACACACACACACACACACACGGTGGGGGTGGGGGGAGCGCAGTGGCTTTTGTCATTGATTTTATCTGGATCTTTCATTGTCTGGATTCTGACTTTAATACTGTCTGTTCTGCATTCTAAAGAACAGCAGGGCCTTCCTGGCAACAGAGTTCAACTGCTCACTACAGGGGGCAGCCCATCTCTTGCCCTGCAGTCACTTAGAGTTAGGGCTTTGAAGTCATTTTCTGCATCAGACACAGTGTTCCCCAATTTGCGTTATTCATGCATTCCTGTTCCCAATCTTAATTGCTCAGATACATGCATTCCAGAGTTGGGACAGCCTTCAAGTACCCTGAAATGTTTGTAGATGTGTAACAGATTTTTGTGGATGTGCTTTGCCAGTTGTGTCACATGCTATTACGAGCTTAAGGTGACTGCTGAGAATGGACCCTTGGAATGAGCCACGTGGAGGGATGGAGAGGGGGGATCATCAGCCCAATTCCTGAGTGTTCAGAACAGAATAGGAGAGGAAGCAGGGAAGCACACACCATAGAGACATGTCATTGGAGGTGTTAAGCTACAAAGTGGAGCAGAAAGATGGGGAGGGGCTGGAGGGAGAGGGTTAGGGAACTCTTCAAAGTGAGTGAAATACCAATATGTACTTTGAAAGGGATGTGTATTCTCAGCCCACATCAACCCTTCTAAAGTCCCTTTCTTTTCAACTTGTCACCCTCCTCACAGCTATGAGCATCTCTCTCCATAATTCCCCCCAAAAAACACAGCTCAACACCAGCCTGCATTAGTTTACTTCCCCCTCCAAATTCCCCCCTTTAATTTCTTCATTATATAGATCAAACTAATGTATTTTCCAACAAAAATCAGACATTTATAGGGGCTGGGGTGCAGCTCAGTGGTACAATATATGCTTAGCATAGATGAAGCCCTGGGTTTGATCCCTGGTAAAACACACACACACACACACACACACACACACACACACCAACATCTGTAGTTGGATAAAGAAGAGCAAAACCAAGCAGGCAATGACAGGAGAATTTTCTTTAGAGGGAGGGAATGGGGCTGGGTTCAGAGCACGACTCCAAACACTCCCAATGAACATACTTTTGATCTACCTCTCAGGTCTCTTGGAAATTCAAGTTCCAGAAGCAGGAGTCTTCAAAGAATGTGTTTTTCATCTTGGCAGAAAGAGCTCGGGACCCCAATGCCAAAAAGCGCCACCTGGCAATGAGAGGCCTGGGCACCATGGCTTGTGAAGCCCCTGACCAGGTGAGGAAGGATGTGGAGCTGAGTCAATCTCCCCAAACCCTCCAGCCCTCGTGGGAGGCGCCCAGGCTTGGGTGGGGTACCCCCTGGACTAGTACCATTTCCCTCTAACAAACCACCAGACTTAGCAGCATAAAGCAACATGTGATAGTTATTCACAGTGTCTGTGGACCAGGGGTCTGGGGACAGCTCACCTGGGTCCTCCATTCAGGGTCTTGCAAGGCCGGGACCCCACAGGCTGGACTGTGTCCTTCTGAAGCTCAGGGTCCTCTTCCAAGCTTATGTGGTTTTGGCACAATTTGGCTTTTCCAATTCTAGGACTGAGATTTCTGTCCTCTGGCTGGCTGTCCTCTGGGGGCCAGTCCCAGTGCCCTGAGGCCACCTTCTCACAGGTGGCAGCTTTATTCTTCAAGGCCAGCAGGAGGGTATCACTCACTCCTGTCTGCTACAGTGGAGTGTCGCATAATGTAAAGTAGCATCCTGTTACCTTTGTCACATTCTGTTAATATTGACAAGTCACAGTTCCCTTCCACACCTGGGAAGAGCAGATTGTTCAAGGGCATGGCTCATTTAGGGTCATTTCAGCATCTCCAACCACGGGCAGTAGTTGCAGGCAGGACCGTTATATGCCAACATCATCCTCCTTGGGAATTCCAGTGATTTCCTCGTGATTTTTTTTTTTTAAGTAAAAGCTCCCTTCACTCCTATTTCTTTGGTATGTGTCAACTTCAGTGGCAATTTCAAGTCCTCCTCTTCATAAAGGTACATAACCCTCCTCAGACCTCTAAGTCACCCTGGTCCACCACCCTCCTGAAGTATCCTACTCGTCTCACCTACCCAGACGCCACCTGCAGCTTTCTCTTTCTGTCCTTCCAAGACTGAGTTGGGCTCCTGGGTTGGGCTAATAGAAGCCCTGGCATTTTGATGAGAGTTGCAGCAAACCCTGAAGAAAACTGTAGTCTCTCATTCCAAGTCTTAGGTTACTGGAAGATTAGAAGTGGAGTTGTTTTGGGATTTACAGAGAGCAATTTCCGTGCTTAGTAATGTTTTCAAACCTCGATAACAGGTGAGAAAACACAAGAAAATTATGCTAGATCTGCTGGTGCATGGATTGTATGACCCTGTGAGTTCTGAAGTCATCCACGAGAGTATGAAGACACTGACCATCATCCTGGGCAAGATTCAGGGCAAAGGTTTGGGCTCCTTCTTCGTAGACATCACGCTTCAGATCAGGACTTTATTGGATGATGTAAGTGACACAACTCATAAAAATTTGGGGGGTATTAAAATCAAAGTGAGATTAGCAGTGACAGCCCTGGGTAGTTTGTTGCTCAGGTACTAGTCACTTTTCATTGCTGTGAACAAAATACCTGACATAAACAACTTAAAGGAGGAAAAATTCATTATGGCTCACACTTTTAGAAGTTCCAGTCCATGGTTGGCTGGCTCCATTGCTTTGGACCTGAGGTAGGGTGAACCATCATGGTGGAAGGACATGGTGAAGGAAAAGTGCTCACCCATGGCAGCTGGGATGCATGGGAAGGAGAGAGAAAGAGAGCAAGAAAAGGACTGGGGACAAGATACATCCTTCCAGGTCATGCTTCTAGTGACCTGCTTCTTCCAATTAGACCCCACTTCTTTCAGTTTCCACCACTTTCCAGTAATGCCATCCAGCTATGAATCCCTTCATGGATTAATCCATTGATGAGATCAGGGCTCCAAAGTCCCATCTCTAAACACTGCTGCTTTGGGGGCCAAGCCTTCAACACATGAGCCTTTAGGGATGCTTCAGATCCAAACCATAACATTTTTAATGAATCTTGTTCAGAGACTAGTACGGTACTGTGTGTGGATTAAGAAAGCCATAAAAGATGTGTAGAATTCCATCACTTCTCCTTAAGGAGTTTTCATCTTAATAGAGGAGTGAATATTGTATGCTGATGACAGTGAGCAGCGTGTAGTCAGCACTCCCTCATACATGTAAGAATGACAATAGTCACACCTAGTGAGCCCTTCCCGTGTGCCACATACAGTGCAAGGCCATTTACATGGAGCATCTTCTATAACCTTTGCAGTCATCCTGTGAGGGAGGCACTGTAACTATCCTCACTTTATGGGTGAGGAAGCCAAGGCACAGAAAGGTTGGAACCTGCCCAAGGTTTGCAGAGCAAGCTCTCTGGCTGCAGCGCCTGCACTGACTGGTAACTACCAGATGAAAAGACGGCCAAGCAAGAATTGTGCTGGGACAGCATTTAGTCTGAACCATGGGAAAGAAGTCCAAGAGTTTCCCAGCTAGTGAGTCAGCCTGCTGCAGTTATTCTCACCTCTCTGAAAGGCAAGACCTGTTGAATGGGGAACAGGCCTTTTATTTGCTCCCAGAGCCACTAGCATCAGTTTGTCACACCCTAGTTCCCCAGGAAGCCACACAGAGCAAGCAGGGGTGCCAGCCCCACATGAGAGCAAGAGAGACCGTGAGATTATGAAGCTTGCAGCTTATATAGAAGCTGCTGGCGTAGTTGTCCCACCTTCTTTCAGAGAGAGACAGATTTTTGCTCTTGAATATACACCAGACCTCCCTGAGGAAGGGAGAGGAGGGTCTTTACCTCACCACCCTGCAATGCCAGCAAATGTGGCATTAAATCTCTCTAGAGGAGTCATCTGAACTTCAGGCTTACTTTCCTTCCCTCCCTCCCTCCCTCCCTCCCTCTCTTCCTCCCTTCCTTCCTTTCTTCTTTTTTTTTTTTGGGTGGGCACAATACCTTTTTTATTTATTTATCTTTTTTTATATGGTGCTGAGGATCAAACTCAGGGCCTCACACGTGCTAGGCAAGCACTCTACCACTGAGTCACAACCACAACCCAAGGCTTATTTTGGATTGAGCAGCTTTTTAAAACCCACCTTGCCCGTGATTTTTGGTGAGAAATCCTTGGCAATGTATCCTGAGGAAATTCTCTTGCTGAGTTCCTTGCTGACAGTTTATATCTCTGTCACAGTCGGCGTTCTTTGCTGCCTGCTTTATGTTAGTGCCTGTGCCCCCATTGGATGATTGGCAGACTGCTGGGCGACATGCACCTGTCTTATGCTTTCCTGTCTATCTCAGCAATAGGGGAGGGCTTTGGATGGGGTGCATTCACCCACCGATAGGGCTGTGAACAAAATAGCAACCTTGAGGTAATTCTGTATATGTCACATATGCTGAATATATATTTTTAAAATTTATTTATTTATTTATTTTTGGTACTGGGGATTGAGCCCAGGGTTGCTTAACCACTGAACTACATCCCCAGCCCTTTTATAATATTTTATTTAGTGTTAGGGTCTCTCTAAGTTGCTTAAGGCTCTCTAAGTTTCTGAGGCTGGCTTACAACTTGTGATCCTCCTGCCTCAGCCTTCTGAGCCACAGGTGTATACCACTGTACCCAGCACTAAATGTATATTTTTAAATACATAATTTATATTTATTGTAATATAGAAATGTACATATATGTTAAAATATATGAAGAATATATAAGTATATTTGTATATTAAAACATATAAAATATATATTTAAATACTTCACAAAACAATCAGTGGTCGTCTTGCTGAGTCTTTGTGACCCCAGTTCTGGTGAGTGAGCCAGGGCAGGAGAGAATTCTCCTCAGTCCCTGCCCTCCCAGTGCTTAAGACAAAGGTGGCCAAGCACATGAGGGAGTTATCCACCCATCAAATGACTTAGACCAATTATTCTAGAATTCTGATATTTTTCTCCTTGCTTCCTGGAGTGGCCCACACTGGCCTTGTTGTTTCTGGTTTATTTGGAGCTGAACAGAACCATGAAGCACTGATATAAAAATCTGTGCACTAAAGTTGAATGATTGGCATCCTATGCTGGTTCTGTTACCTGACAGTGTGACTCTGGGAAAGTCACTGAAATGCCCTGGGCCCTGGACTTCTCATCTGGAAAGAGAGACACATGGGGCAAACAGCTCACAAAGGAGATAAAGGGAGGGCTGAGTCCACTCACCTGTGCTCAGGGAGGAGCCAACTCATCAGAGTAAAAGAAGAGAGTGGTGGTTGTGGTGCGGGAAACAGAATCCTTATTTCCACTACAGGTAGAAGGAACTCAGACCAAAAGTAGAGAGAGGTGACCTACGTGGGTGCAGTGGCACATGCCTATAATCTCAGCCCATTTAGGAGGCTGAGGCAGGAGAATCTCAAGTTCAAAGCTAGCCTTGGCAATTTAGCGAGGCTGTAAGCAACTTAATGAGAACTTATCTCAAAAAACAAAAAGTTAAAAGGGCTGGGGATGTGGCTCAGTGGTTAAGCACCCCTGAGTTCAATTCTCAGTACCAAAAAAAAAAGGAGAGAGAAAGACTGAGAGCTGACCTGCTAGAAGTAACAGGAGACTGATCAAGCAAATCATGATACAATAAAGCAAAAGAAAAGAGAGAAAAGAGAAAAAGTATGAAAATTCCTTTATGTGTTTAGGTGGAAAGAGCTCCTACAAAGATTGGTAGTTAAACCAAGGTGCATGACACCAGTTGGTGTCTGTCCGTTTATGTAAAAGAGAGGGGAAGAGCTCTGTGTCTGGAGGCCCACCCCGTGATGTCCATGCAAGAACGATGGCTGTGGTGGGAGCCATGTGCTCTGACACTTTTGTCTCTTGATGGTGACCTGCCTCTGTTGTTTTGTTGATGGGAACCCGCAGGAGAACGACAGCATGAGATACTTGGCCTTTGTCTTGCTCGGGCAACTGGCGGCCTTTGCTGGGTGGAAATGGAAGAAGTTTTTCGCCCGTCAGGTTAAGCAGACACGAGATTCCCTCCTGATCCATTTACAGGACAGAAACCCACAGGTTGCCACGGTAAGACCACGATTCTCCATGTTCTTGTCAATGCCCTTATGAAACTAGCAGCGTGTCCCCAGGAATCCTGAAGAACTTGCCTCCCCAACAAGTCATCCTTTCCAGAACAAAGATGTTGTTTTCCTGCCCCACCTACCCATGTTAGTGCCTGTCAAGGCCAGATGAGCCCAGGTTCAGGGTGGGTGGGCAGAGGGTGCAGGTTTAGGTTCATGTAATGAGGATATCTATTCACATATCTATTCACACAATTAGTGATTGTCACTGCACCTGTTAAAGATTCCCTGTAGAACTGTTTTGCTCTTGGAGAAAATGTGCCCTAACAAGGTTGGATCAACCTCAGGCCTGGGTGAATGTTTCAAAACTGGGAGCAAAGAGTTTTGAAACCATTTGTGTTGGGTGGGGGGAGAGATTGAATTCAGCATTCAGGGTTCCCATGACAAGTGCTGTGTAAACTCCCAAGCAATGCCGTCCCCTCCCCACCAGCCCCCTGATTATAGGCATGGCATTTCACAAGCATACTTCCTGTAAGTTCAAGTCTGTAAACTACCTGTAAAGTCACTTTCACATTGTAGTGTAGTGGCCCTGACCATAGATTGGGTCCACTTCTTTGGGATACCCTTCCCTGCTTGGGATTCTAGAATTCTGATGTTTTTGCCAATAGGATGGTCATATTTTTCCCCCTCAGGCTTGCAAAACAACTTTTCGAGCCTGTTCTCCGTATCTGAAACTGAGAAACGAAAACAGCTTCCGGACAGAAGAAGATCAAAGGAATCCCAAACTCTCCAGGCAGCTGGTGAGCGAGCCAGGGCAGGAGAAAATTCTCCTCAGTCCCTGCCCTCCCAGTGTTTAAGACAAAGGTGGCCAAGCACATGAGGGAGTTATCCACCCATAAAATGTCTCAGACCAATTATTCAATTGTGATTGACCCATGATGCTGTGTATGTAAGTGGTGAACTCCTGGGAGTTAGGTACACAGTGTCAGGGCAGTTCCAATTCAGGTCATTAGCTAAGTGCAGGCGATGCTGCCTACTCTCCTGTTGCCTATCCCAGTGCCCTGAATCTGTAGCTGTCCACTAGTTATATCTAGGAGGTTTACTGAGTTCCTCCCTCACATGTACCTTTGCTAATTTCTTTCAGAGTCACTATCATCCAGAGCTCCTGCAGTTCTTCTACGCAAATAAAATTCTGTAAGTGGGAGAGGCAGGAGAATGGTCCCACATGAGTATCCTGCGGGGGCCCTTGTGTTCCCTCTGTTTTGTCTCATTGGATGCCTCTTCTGCTAGAAAAGAGGATGTCAGGAGAACAGATGGGGGCAAAAGTAATACCGTGGAATTGCATAATTATACCCAAATTAAAAATTCTAAATTGCTTTCACATATCTCATTTTCTCCCAAACAAATTTAATGAGAAAATATTTTCCTAAAAACACATAAAGTATATGCAGTTTCGTTTAGTGCTTATTTCTCAGCTATTTCCTTCTTAAGTTCGTTGCTGCCAAATATCTTGTATCTCTTATGAAACTTCTGAGCTTAGCGGAAAAATGGTTACCTTAAAAGTTTTTAAAAAATATTGATATTTCACTATTTGCTATTGATGCCTTTTCTTGTCAAGACTTATTTAAAATTGGCCAAGATACCAAGAAAATAGCTTGCAGGGGTATCTTTAGTTTTTCACGGTCTTTTCATGGCATGGCCTTTAAGATATCTTTAAAAAGAACTAGTGAAGAGAAAAAAAATCTATGAAGTATATGTTGAAAATCCTTAGGCTGATAACTTATGGAATAAAACAGTAACATTTATTGGGAGTGTTTACAATTCATCCGACACTAAGAACTTTTTTCAATTATTATTTAATATTTATAAAACCCCTATGAGATAGGTACTATTATTGTTTTCAGCTTATAATGAGAAAACTAAGGCATGGGAAAAGTAAGTAAACTTGCCCAAGACAAACGGTGGAGTCAGAATTCAAATTCATATAGTCTGATTTCTGGAGCTGTGTGCAGTTACTCTTCAGGGAAACTTTGATGGTGAAAGGCAGAACAAACAAGAAAAATCTCAGCATACTCCTGTAATCCAAGCAGCTTGAGAGGCTGAGGCAGAAGGATCATGAGTTCAAAGCCAGCCTCAGCAACTCAGCAAGGTCCTAAGCAACTTAGTGAAACCCCATCTCTAAATAAAATAGAAAAAGGGCTGTGGATGTAGCTCAGTGGTTAAGTGCCCCTGGGTTCAATCCTTAGTACCAAAAATAAAACAATGGATTCAAACTAAAAAGCTTCTTCTCAGCAAAAGAAATGATCAATGAAGTGAACAGAGAGCCTACATTTTGGGAGCAAATTTTTGTCACATGCATGTCAGATAGAGCACTAATCTCCAGAATATATAAAGAACTCAAAAACCTTAACTCCAAAAAATAAAACAATACAATCAATAAATGGGCTAAGGAGCTGAACGGACACTTCTCAGAAGAAGATATACAATCGATCAACAAATATATGAAAAAAATGGTCAACATTTCTAGTAATTAGAGAAATATAAATAAAGATTACTCTAAGATTTCATCTCACTCCAGTCAGAATGGCAGTTATTAAGAATACAAACAACGATAAATGTTGGCGAAGGTGTGGGGGGAAAAGGCACGCTCATACATTGCTGGTGGGACTGCAAATTGGTGCAGCCAATCTGAAAAGCAGTATGGAGATTCCTTAGAAAACTGGGAATGGAACCACTATTTGACCCAGCTATCTCACTCCTTGGTCTATACCCAAAGGACTTAAAATCAGCATACTACAGTGACACAGCCACATCAATGTTCATAGCAGCACAATTCACAATAGCCAAACTGTGGAACCAACCTAGATGCCCTTCAATAGATGAATGGATAATGAAACTGTGGCATATATACATAATGGAATATTACTCAGCAATAAAAGAGAATAAAATTATGGCATTTGCAGGTAAGTGGATGGAGTTAGAGAATATTATGCTAAGCAAAGTAAGCCAATCCCAAAAAACCAAAGGCTGGAGTGTTCTCTCTGATAAGTGGATGCTGATCCATAATGGGGCAGGGGGCAAGGGATGAGTGGACAAACTTTGGATGAGGTAAAGGAGAGGGGGGAAAGGACATGGGGGTAGGAAAGATGGTGGAATGAGATGAACATCATTACCCTAGGTACATGTATAATTGTATGAATGGTGTGACCTTACAACCAGAGAAGTCAAACATTGTGCTCCATTTGTGTACAATGAATTGAAGAGCATTCTGCTGTCAAGTATAACTGAATAGAACAAATTAATAAATTAAAACAAAACAAAACAAAACAAACAGACAAAAATAAAATAAAAACCCTCATCTCAGCTCCTCTATTAAATACAGTTAACTGCTGTGATACCTGATTTACATTTTTATTCATTTAAATGAGCTAAGTGCTCATCACTAATCACTTCTTGACTGAAATGCCAATGGTTTGGTGACCAATCCTAGTTATCTGAGAGATCACATCACTCTTATAAAAAGTTTCAGTTGGGTTTGGTGGTGCAAACCTGTAGTCCCAGCAATTTGGGAGGCTGAGGCAAGAAGATCATTTGAACAACTGAGTTCAGGACCAGCCTGGGCAACATGATTTTTTTTTTTCATTTTCTTTTTCTTTTAATTTGGGCAACATAATTTCAGAGGAGAAAAATGCTTAGTTTCTTTGCTTTCCACCAACTCGACTGGTTCCCAAGCTTCCCCTATGGTAATTCTGATACCACCACTGCACGCAGTACTGGTCATTCCCGGAACACTGTGTTCAGTTTTGGAAATTGAAAGATCACCAAGAGGGAAATCATGAGAAGGTCATAAAAACTACAGAAGGATCTAAAGTGGCACTCTGAGAACCAGGGACTCAGTTTCTGGCCCTTTCTCCCAGATCCCGGGCTCTGAGAGTTGAGGGTGCACTGAAGCATTCTGGGAGACAGGATGTGGAGATAGCAGACAGGGCAGCAAGTGCCAACTATCAGTGGAGCTTCTTTCTTCCTGTTTTGAAACTGGAGTGACAGCAGGACCTCCTAGGAGTGAGGCTCCGGAGCAGGTGGGAAGGGCCTAAGCTGTGATCCCTCTCCTTCCCCAGATGTTGGCATGTTTAAACTACCTTGCCACGTTGGTTTAAAAATCTGATGTGGTTCTCTGAAGCGATCAGTAAGTGGCATGAGACACATCTGAATTTGCTGGCACTCAAAAAGGTGGGGGTGGGGGGAGGTGGATGGACTTACCTATTCTCAAGTTGAAAAATCTATGCAGTTAGTGTCCTTTAGTTGATTTAATTTGCTGTTGGATGATTTGACTTCAAGATTCCATGGCAGCCATTTTTTCCCTTGCAGTGAACCAAACCTCCTAATATTCATGCCCCTGTGCAGTCCTCTCCCCTGAACTCAGGTTAGTCCTGTGACTGCTTTACCCCTTAGAATGTGAAGAAAGGGCCACCATGCTGGGCTGCTTCCTCTTGCGCTCTGGGGGAAGCCAACCACCACATAAGAAGCCAAATCACCAGGAACAAAGGAGAATGTCTGAGATCCCTGTGTGAAGGAGGAACCCAGCCCACAACAAACTCTGAGGCCCAGAGCCTTGGAGCAGGTGGGCTGGTCCAGCCAGGCCCTGTCATTCAAACTGCTCCAGCTGACATGGCCTGAGAAAGAGCTGCTGTTCCCATCACACACACCGCCAAGTGCAGAATTAATAATAAGTAATAATTGCTGTTTTAAGTCATTTAACCTTTGGGATAGTTTGTCACCCAGCAATAAGTAACCCCAAAATTCCCCCTCATGAATTTTGTCATTGTAGCTGGTTTTATTTTGCTCTTAATAAATCCTCTTTGAATTTAAATTCCATCTAGAAAGCTATGTGATTATGCAAGGGGCATGCAAGGGACTATGCTTTGTTTTTCTTTTGCATCTCGCCGTATCTGTCACAGACCCAACCACGGAGCAGATTTGATCAAGAAACATTCGCTGACTGATTAATGGTTCCAAATCATAGAGGGAATAAAGTCAGTGTCTACTCTGCTATTCTGCTCTTTCAACTGTGGGTTCACACTCTTTCTTTTCAGCTATTTCAAATGCAACCCCCACCCTGGACCCTGCACTCGCATGCACACACGATTTCACAAGTAAGAAAGATAGGTCCAACACCAGATCCCCTCAGTCAGGAAAGAGCTCGAAACTCTGAATTCCCAGGAGATTCTAGCAGTCTCGCGTCACTTAAACTGTCTTATTCTCATCTGAGGATTTTCCACCGAAATGTCCTTTTTTCCCTCATAGATAGAAGCTGTCTTGTATCTCTCTTGTGATCGCAAAGGTACACAGTAGGTGCTCAGTAAATGAATGCTGACCAGGGAGGCAAAAGTCAAAAAGTTAACTAGAGCTATTACTGCTTCTTGGGAGGACCCCATTCTGACAAGTAAGGGTTGTTATTTCACTAGCTTCTTGTAATTGATCCACAGATTACCTTTATGCTTATTTAACATTTCCCTTCATCATAAGAAGCCTATTAATTAAATGTAAATCTAAGGGAAATGCTTCGGCATTTCTTACTTTTTAACACTAGACATGGGACGGTTGAATAAAAGAAAAAGGGATGTTCCTGTGTTACTGTGCTAAGTGCTCAGGGTAGAGCTATACATAAAATTCTTTCAGGGGAAGAGATGAGCCTTGTGAGATGAGCCTTTCTTTCTCCCCCCACCTTTTTTCCCCCTGTACTGGGGATTGAACCCAGGAATGTTCTACCACTGATCTACATCCCAGCTCTTTTTAATTTTTTTTTTATTTTGAGATAGGATATTCCTAAGTTGTTGGGGCTGGCCTCAAACCTGTGATCCTCCTGCTTCAGCCTCCCAAGCTGCTGGGATTACAGATATGGCAAGAGATGAGTCTTTCTTAAAAGAAGGGGCAAGACCAGAGGAAGTCTGAGAATCTAATGGGTGTGACTATCTCTGATAATTAGTGTAAACAGAAAGCTTTATTCTAGTCCATAAGGCAATTAATTGAAGAAAGACTTCACTCATTGTAAAAAAAATACTGTTTAGTAGGAAATGAGCTGTGTAGGATAGTGAGCAATAAGTGATGTAAATAAGTCAGATACACATTGTGCTTTCCTGAATTTTCCAAGTTTTCTATATGAGCATGTGTTACTTTTATAATCATAAAACATATGTAAAATGCCTTT